TGAGCTATAGGCGCCGAGCCAGAAGGGACATTTCTTAAGCTGACAGGCCATCTACAGCAAACCCATAGCCAATATCATATTGAATGGTGTAAAATTGAAAACATTTCCACTCAGATCAGGAACATGGCAAGGATGCCCACTGTCTCCACTGCTATTCAACATAGTAATGAAAGTCTTAGCCATCACAATCAGGCAACAGAAGGTGATCAAGGGTATCCAAATAGGGTCAGAGGAGATCAAACTCTCACTCTTTGCTGCTGATATGATCCTATACCTAGAAAATCCCAGGGACTCAACTTCAAAACTCTTAGAAGTGATCAAGGAATACAGCAGCATCTCAGGATACAAAATCAATACTTACAAGTCAGTAGCTTTTATACACGCCAACAATAGTCAAGCTAAAAAACAATCAAGGACTCTATTCCTTTTACAATAGTGCCAAAGAAGATGAAATATCTGGGAATTTACCTAACAAAGGATGTGAAGGATCTCTATAAGGAGAACTATGAAACTCTTGAGAAAAGAAATAGCTGAAGATGTTAACAAATGGAAAAACATACCATGCTCATGGCTGGGAAGAATCCATTTTGTTAAAACGTCCATACTACCCAAAGCAATCTACAGATTGAATCCAATCCCTATTAAAGCACCATTGTCATACTTTAAAGAACTTCAAAAAATAGTATTTCATTTTATATGGAATCAGAAAAAACTTTGAATAGCAATACATTACTCAGAAATAAGAACAAATCAGGAGGTATCACATTACCAGACTTCAGGCTATACTATAAATCTGTAGTGATCAAAATAGCATGGTGCTGGCACAAAAACAGAGGGGTAGATTTATGGAACAGAATAGAGAAACCAAGAGATGAACCCAGCTACTTATTGTCATTTGATCTTCGACAAGCCTATCAAAAATATTCAGTGGGGGAAAGACTCCCTATTAAATAAATGTTGCTGGGTGAACTGGCTGGCAACCTGTAGAAGACTGAAACTAGACCCCCACCTTTTACCATTAACAAAAATTGATTCTCACTTGATAAAAGACTTAAACTTAAGACATGAAACTATAAAAATACTAGAAGAGAGTGCAGGGAAAACACTTGAAAAAATTGGCCTGGAAGAATGTTTTATGAGGAGGCCCCCCCGCGCATTTGAAGCAACTCCAAAAATACATTACTGGAATCTGATCAAACTAAAAAGCTTTTGCACACCCAAGAGCACAGTAAGTAAAGCAAACAGACAACTTGCAGAATGGGAAAAGATTTTTGCAGGTTATGCTTCTGACAAAGATCTGATAACCAGAATCTACAGAGAACTCAAACTAATCAATAAGAAAAGAATAACCCCATTTCTATGTGGGCAAGAGACTTGAACAGAAACTTCTCTGATGAAGACAGGCGCATGGCCTACAAACACATGAAAAAATGCTCATCATGCTTAATTATCAGAGAAATGCAAATCAAAACCACTTTGAGATATCATCTAATTCCAATAAAATTAGCCCACATCACAAAATCCCAAAACTACAGATGCTGGCGTGGATGCAGAGAGAAGGGAACGCTTCTACACTGCTAGTGGGAATGCAAGCTAATATGACCTTTTTGGAAAGAAGTTTGGAGAACACTCAAGAAACTAAAAGTACACCTACTGTTCGATCCTGCAATTCCTCTACTAGGTATATACCCAGATGATCAAAAATCATTTTACAACAAAGACATTTGCCCCAGAATGTTTATTGCAGCCCAATTCATAATAGCCAAGACATGAAAACAGCCCAAGTGCCCATCGACCCATGAATGGATTAACAAATTGTGGTATATGTACACCATGGAATACTATGCAGCCATAAAAAGATGAAGATTTCACATCTTTTATGTTAACCTGTATGGAGCTAGAACATATTCTTCTTAGTAAAGTATCTCAAGAATGGAAAAAAAGGTATCCAATGTATTCAATACTACTATGAAATCAATATATAATCACCTACACACTCATACGAATGGCAAAACATAACTACAGTCCAGAAAGTAGAAGGGAAGAGAAGAGAGAGGGGAGGGGAGGGAAGGAGGGATATGGGAGGAGAGAAGGTATTTTAGGGGGAAACCTCACCTAATGTGTATGATGCAATGATACATTTCAAAACTATTAAGAAATGAGTATAATTGTGATGGATGTGTTACTTAGTTCAATGTAAGCATTTTACATTGTATATTGAAGCAGTACCCTGAACCCCATAAATCCATCAATGTATAAAGTTATGATTTGAAAAAAAAAAAAAAAGAAGAAGAAACCAGCCCCAGGCCAGCTAAACAACAATGACAACTGCAACAAAAAAATAGCTGGGCATTTTGGCGGGAGCCTATAGTCCCAGCTACTTGGGAGGCTGAGGCAAGAAAATTGCTTAAGCCCAGGAGTCTGAGGTCACTGTGAGCTGTGACACCATGGCACTCTACTGCGGGTGAGATATTGAGACTCTGTCCTGCCCCCAAAAGGAATGAATATAATAATAAAACCATGATAATAATCAGTATCGCTTAGGATACGGAGAACTGAACATTCCCATACTTTGTCAGAAGGGTTGTTAACCAGTTCTTTCCTGGAGAACAATTCAGCATCTAGTACCAAAGGCATAAAAAAACACACTCTCTTGGACCCAGCAATTACTCTTCTAGGAATTTGCCCTAAGGAAATAATCAGATGTATACTGTGTATAAATATTTGCATAGAAAGATGCTTATTGCAGTGTTATGATAAACAACTTGCCAACACTGGGAGATGTTAAATCAAGGACAGTTCTTCTCTGTAACGGGACACTAAGCCAGCCATAAAAAATCATATTCTAGTGGAAAATTTAATAACATGAGAAAATGGGCACGATAAATTGTTGAGAGAAAAAAGCAGGTTATAAGATGGTAAGTGCAACATTATCCCAATTTTCTAAAAGAAAAATATGTTTTCAGAGGAAAAAGTCTGGCTGGATGCATACAAGCAAAAATGTTAACAGTGCCTATCACTGGTTATGAGATTTTTTTTTTAAACTTTTTATGCTTCTCTATATTTTCCAAAGTAAATGTATATTACTTCTACAATCAGACAAAAACAAATACCATTTTTAAAAAGAAAGAAAATAGCAGCTTTCTAGAAAATTGCAAAGTATCATAATCACCAAAATACTAGCTTCATGAAATAGGAAGGCTCATATCCCTCCATATCCAGAGCAAACCTTAATTTTTCGGTCTGATTTCACTTTTTATTTTCTTGTTTTCCTTGAATAACTTTCTGTGTGATCACATTCATGATGCACATGTATTATGTTGAAAAGATTAGCTCTGAAAAAGAACTATTAAGCCATTTATCATTGGATCATTACATCTAATGGATTTTAATCCTTCAGCAATCACTAAAGCTTATATTATTTAGCTAAATTCTTTGTTATAACAATACAAAGCAGGGATTTTATCGGCTGTAGAAGCTGCTGTTGTAAGTGTGATCGTTTCTGGAAAATTGATTCTATACTTTAAGCATAATCCCGTTAAAGATATAGAGTAGGGGTACACCCTTCTGGTGCAAAGGATTGACATAGTCTTTTTTTAAGCCCACAGAAATCTCTTAAAAGCTATAAAAGGAAGTCTCTCAGAGAATCTTGTTCTACTTCCTACTATGGAAGCAGGACATAATAATAGGTTGATGACAATAAATAAAAATAAAAATTAAGGCTCAGCACCCGTAGCACAGTGGTTATGGCACCAGCCACATACACCGAGGTTGGTGGGTTTAAATCTGGCCCAGGCCAGCTAAATAACAATGACAACTACAACAAAAAATAGCCCAGCACTGTGGTAGGTGCCTATAGTCTCAGCTACTTCGGAGGCTGAGGCAACAGAATCACTTAAGCCCAAGACTTTGAGGTTGCTGTGAGCTGTGACGCCACAGTACTCTACCAAGGGCGACATAGTGAGACTCTGTCTAAAAAAATAATAAAAAATAAATAACATAAAAAGAATAGAAGTTTTGCTAAAAGTCACAATTTCTCCTTAAAATCTAACTCATTGGTAATGAAATTTAAAATTAGTGGACTGCCCCTAATATTACTTATGTTTGCTGACAACCTTCAAAATGGAGTTCACCTAGGCAGTGGCCAATGAGCTCGTTTTCCCTTCTAACTTAATCCTAATCATACTGGTTATAAGTTAACACCGTGGCCAACTAAAATCTAGCTGTTCTCTCAGTCAGGACTATAAAGCTAACAGCTTCATCTGACAAAAATGGCATACAATTCAATGAGAGCTGACTGACACTGGCAAGGCAGGGCAAGGGACCAATAAGCCAAGCCTATTGCTACAAGGTGTCTGAAGGAATAGGGGAATAGAAGTTTCTTGACGAAATTCAGAATACAACCAACAGCAGAATTCTGCCAGTTTTCTTTCTCAAATCCATCCCACAAAGACAAAGATAACACTGGCTATACAATTTAACAACATGGCTCTTTCTCCTGAAGAAATATGCATTGTTAAATTACTGAGCTGGGAGCGTTTTACCTTAGAGTAGAGCACTGCAGCTCCTGTATAATCTTTCTCCTGAAATTTTTTGTTTCCTTCTTCTCTGTAGAAAAGGGGAGCTTCAGGGTCCTTATCCACCAAGTAACCTCCAGAAAGTCTTTTTAAAAACATCTCATCCTCAGGTCTTCATGAAGACAGGAGGCCACATAAAAAAAGCAGAAATTTGTTATTTCAAGGAAAGCTCCAAACCATTGTACTTGAAACAAGAAAGAGTGTCTGCAAAACACTGGAACATGATCTCTGTGTCATGTGACCGGTGGAAAATTATCTCATGGTCGCAGAGACACAGGGATCGGAATTTCTATTCTGAAGACTGAGTGTTAGTTTTTTCTTCTTTTTTAAAATTTCAAAATATTGGCTCGGCGCCTATAGCTCAACCGGCTAAG